CCAGCAAAGAACTTTGGTCTTCCCTCCACTAAGTCGTATGCTTCTTGTTTTTCCTGTCCTAATTAATAGGCCTTAGTATTTAACTAGAAATCAAGGCATTATCCACATTCTGTTCTTCCTCCTTCTCCCGGTCAGGAAGCCCCTTGCTATACTCCAGGACTCAGCGCAGTGCTAAGCACACAGTAGGTCCTCAGGAGCTCGTTGGTGAATGAATGAATAAAACCACAGAAGTCTGGTGAAGTTGCTTTTCCTTTAATTTTTTTGAAATTTTCCTTTAAAAAAAAAAAGATTTTATTTATTTATTTGACAGAGAGAGATCACAAGTAGGCAGAGAGGCAGGTGGCGGGGGGGAAGCAGGCTCCCTGCTGAGCAGAGAGCCTGATGTGGGGCCCAATCCCAGGACCCTGGGATCATGACCTGAGCCGAAGACAGAGGCTTAACCCAGTGAGCCACCCAGGCACCCCAATTTTTTGAAATTTTCTTCTAGGTGACAAGATTGTTTCGGGCTGGGGGTGGATCTTTACCTTGTTCGCCTTACACCTCCCAGCTCAGCTATTGGCACACAGTGGGTATTTAATGCATATAGACTGAATGAATACAGTAGTACAGCTTGTTCCCCAGGCACTATAGGAATTATTATTTTTTTTTAAAACATCAGAGCATTCCAGGCAGACCCTATCTGTTATTGGCCTTGCCCTCTTTTTCTAAAATGTCATCTGTCATACTTCAGTCCCTCCTCTTGGCTGATATTGATGCAGTTTCCAAGTCCAGCCTTCACGCAAGAGAGCCCTTGTGGATACCCCTCTCTGCTTGGTAAATTCGTCCATCCACCCATCCCAGCCCCTCCGGGAAGCCTCCTTGACTCACCAGGAAGAAGTCATCTGTGTCCTCACTGTGCTTTATGATGCTTCATTTAAGGTCTGACCACAGCATTTTGTAGTGACTTGTTTACTTGTCTTGCTTGATGGACTCAGCTTCTCGAATGCTTGTCCACTGTGGTGTTTCCTGAGCCCAGCTCAGAGGGCAGTGAGGATATCTGTGGAGCAAAGTGTTTTACCTAGAACACTCTCTCAGTGGCCTTGGTAGAGAGTGACACAGGGGGCCAGCAGGGCTAGACACAGGGGGCCAGCAGGGCTAGACAGTGCCAGATCACAGGGCAGTCAGAGACTTAGAAGTCTCCACTGGACCATCTTTAGGAGGTTGTTTCACTTTGGCTGTTCTCCTTCCAGGCCCTCCCCTCTGTCCCTGCTGCTTCTCTTCCCTACTTGGGCCACTAACTGCCACCCTGTTGTCCCTTTCAAATCCTAGCCTCCCTTGGAAGTCTCCCTTGGAAGCCCGGCCTGGGCTACATCCCCTCCAGGCAGCCTCCGGGCCATAGGTGTCTTACCTGCCCACTCATTCATTCTCGTGGCAGGGATGTGGCCGGAGCCCCTTCTAGGTGTGAGACAGGAGACTAGGATCCAGGGAGGATGAGGCTACAGAAGGAACACCCAACAGCCTACCTCCTTCACGAGCTTGTAATCAAGTAATAGAGTAGATAGTATTTTAAATTAAGTACGTATTTTTAAAATAGACTATTACTTCTATATGTTATACAGAATGCTGGTTCTTTTTTTCTTTTTAAGATTTTATTTATTTGTGTATGTATTTATTTGTCAGAGAGAGAGAGCGCACAAGCAGGCAGAGAGGCAGGCAGAGGCAGAGAGAGGAGCAGATTCCCCGCCGAGCAAGGAGCCTGAGGCGGGACTTGATCCTAGGACCCTGGGATCATGACCCGAGCCGGAGGCAGCGGCTTACCCGACTGAGCCACCCAGGCGTCCCTCTTTATTTCATTTTAAAAAGAAAGAATCATCCATATTCCTGTTACCCAGAGTCAATCCCTGTTAACATTTTAATATATTTTCATCTAACTTAAAAAAAATTTTGTACTTTCTATTTTTTTTTAAAGATTTTATTTATTTACTTGAGAGAGAAGGGGAGAGAAAGAGTACAAGGTGGGGAGGGGGCCAAGGGAGAGGCAGGCTTCCCAATGAGCAGGGAACCCTATGCAGGCTTGATCCCAGGACCCTGAAACCATGACCCAAGCCAAAGGCAGAGACCCAACTGCCTGAGCCACCCAGGTGCCTCTGTACTTTCTATTTTGAAACAGTTTTGTTCTTACAGAAAAGTTGCAGTAAGAATAAAGAGAACTTTCGTATACCCTTGGCCTAGGTCCACCAGTTTTTAACATTCTTGTTGCACTTCCTTTATTATTCTTTTTGTCTACAGGTGATCAGAAAGTCCAGAAACAGAGCAAATATCCATGATATCATCAAGGACATCTTCAGTCTGTAAAGAAAAGAACTCACATGAAAGTATTCACTTTCCAGATTGCACTGTTGCCTGCTGTGTTTACACATGTAATTTTTCTCAGCCCTTTGAGAGTGGGTTATATCCATTGATCCCTGACTACTTTCGTGTATCATAAGAACGAGGGCATTCTGACTTTGCTGTCTTCATCCACTCGAGCGGGTATAACAAAAATACCATAGACTAGGCGGCTTATAAACGACAGAAATGAACTTCTCCCAGTTCAGGAGGCTAGGTTGTCTAAGCTCAAGGGCCTGGCAGATTCACTGTTAATAGACAGCTGTCTTCTGAGATCTCACATGGTAGAAGAGTCAAGGGGCCCTCCGGGGGCTCTCACAATGGCACCGATGTCATTTGTAAGGGCTCTGCCCTCATCTAACTGCTTCCAAAGGGCCCCACCTTGAAATATCACCACTTTGGGTGTTAGGTTAACATATGAATTGGTGGAGAGGCACAAACATTCAGTGTCTAGGAAATAGAGTTATGACATTCAGGAATCTAACATGGTTCGACTATTTTTTTTTTTTAAGATTTTATTTATTTGACATACAGAGAGAGAAATCACAAGTAGGCAGAGAGAGAGGGGGAAGCAGGCTCCTGAGATCATGACCTGAGCTGAAGGCAGAGGCTTAACCCACTGAGCCACCCAGGCGCCCTCGACTACTTTTATTAATCTGTGATCCCTATTCCAAGTTTGTCAGTTGTCTCAATAACGTCCTTGAGAGCATCTTTCTTTGACACAGTCCAGAATCGCAGATTACTTGTAGTTGTCTTGTTTCTTTGGCTTCCGTTCATGTGGACCCATTCCCGTTTTTGTCTTGATGACAGTGAAATACTCGATGAACAGGCTGGTCATTTTATGGAATGCTCCTCAACTTGGGTTTGCCCCATGATTAGCTTCAGTCCCTCCAGAATACCCTTTGAGTGACACCGTGAATTTCTCAGTGTGTCATATGCAGAGGCACATGATGTCCATCTGCCCCCCGTTTGGTCCTTTGAGCATGTCCCCACCATTTTGTGGGCTGGCAGCTTCATCACATTCTGGACCAACAAGATGAGCTGGTTCCAGCTTGTCGCTTCCCTTCCCCAGCCCTGGAATCGGCCACTTCTGTAAGGCTCCCCGGCTGGATCTGGTCGACCAGGGCCTGGATGTCATTGTGTGTCTTTGCTCTCCACTCACTGTCCATCTAGCTCTATTTATCTCCTTGTTTTTTTTTAAAAGTTGGAATTATCCTGTTTGTATGCATTTCACGAAATCACGAGCATTTTTTCCTATCATAAATGTCTGAAAATATAATTTAGATGGCTACATGGTGTTCAGTCATAGGAGCGGACCATTGTTTACAGAATAATTCACCTTTGCAAACAATGCAGCGGTGCGCATCATCGGCCTGTACTTCTAACCACACCTCTGAACATCTCTGGTTGTTTTCTTAGGCTAAATACTTAGAGGGGAAATTTTGCCAGGATGGCGGTGTGAGCATTGTGTATAAGTGGGGTAATGGTTTAGGCCCTTTGAATTATGAGAGGTTAGAGAAGCAACTGTTTGAGTTAAGGAATAGTACTGAAGATCTGGTTTGTGAATGGCAGTACCTCAAGAGGGTGGCAGGAGGGGGTGGAGAGGGTGCAGGAGGGTGTCAGAGCGAGCAGAGAGTGGAGGCAGCATGGGGCCTGGTATGCACAGGGGACTTTCAGGGAATGGGTCGTTACTGGGAGGAGAAAGCAGAAGGTGGCTGTAGGGTCTGGTGTCCTAACGAGCAAGGGGATGGAGGGAGTGTGGAGGCTTCTGCTTCCTTCCCCATGCAGAGGAGGGTACTGGGAGAACTGTGGGGCTCTAGGGAGGATTTGGGGCAGAGCCCGGAGTGAAGTGAGGCATGAACCTCCAGTGTTTGCAGCTTCCCCTTTGTCCTCCAGCTTGGCATCTACTCACGACCTTGAGCTCAGCTTTTTCCCTAGGGCAGAGGGCCCAGTAGCAATGTTTTTTCGTTGCTCGGTTTCCTTTCATTGTGGGCTAATGCCCGTGGCCTGCTTTGCACAAAGCCCTCCTTTTCTGGGGCCCCTGCTCTGGGGTGAGGCCAGGGCAAGCAGGCCCCCATCCTGAGCCTCACAGCTGCTCCAGGGCTAGGGGTAAAGGAGGGCTTGAAGTCTGTGAGCTGGGTGCGGTCATCCTTGAGCTTTGCCTGTGAGGAGCTTTTCTGGGGGTGGAGCCTGAGCCGGACCTTGGGGAGGGAACTTCCCTCTGCTTGAGAGGTCCAAAGCAAGGCAGGGAGGCCTGTGGTGCACAGGGAAGCGTGGGAGAGGCCTCTGCAACCTGTGTGTTCACTGGTGCTGGGGAACTGTGGGAGGCTTGGAGAGGACCTCAGGGAACTGGGGGAAGAGGGAGGAAAACAGGAGGTACTCTGGAGAGGCCCCAGCATAGTCACCGAGTACCTTAATGGTCTTTATGAGTTGACTTTAAAAAGACATAAGACCTCGGAAAGCTGGCCTCGGGTGACCGAGAAGTGAGTCCTCATTGGCATTTATCACATGGGGAGTCCTGGGGGCAGTGGGATCCCATGGATGAGGGTATGCTGTGGGGTGTGGTCCATGGGGGCTGGAGGATGGTCTACAGCAGCTGATTTCCTCTCCTCTCCCCACCGCCCCTTCTCCAGACGTCCTTCTACGGTCGCTTCAGGCACTTCTTGGACATCATCGATCCTCGTACACTCTTTGTCACTGAGGTAAGTCAGGGGCAGCACTCTCCATGGAGGCCCCCGTCCCTTTCGAAGATCTGTGGGTCACCTCTGTGTGTGCCTTATACACACGATCTAATCCCATTTGCACCTCACGGCAAAGTGGATATGTAGCATCATTCCGACCTCAAACTCTAGTGAAGTTATTACCCAGGACCTGAAGGACACACTCGCGACCAAAGTTCGAATGGTACGGGTATGTTTAAGTGGAACGAGAAAGTATCCTCTCCCTGCCCAATCCCCTCCTCTCATAGATAGGGTTGGATTTCCTGAGGTAGAGTTTACTTTCGGTACATGTGCCGTCCTGCCTTCTGACAAACATATGCAGTCACGTCCCCCTCCCACCCCACCACAAACCCCTAGAACGCTTCCATCCGTCACCCTACAGTGTTTGCTCGGACACTTGCTCCCCTGCTGCTGCCAGCCTCTGGCTACCTCTCACCTGTTCTGTGTCCCTGCTGTTGTCCTGGTTTAAATGTCCTAGAGTTGTTCTCCTACGGTACGTGGCCTTGAGCATCTGGCTTCTTTCCTTGGCATAATCATTTTGAGATTCATCCACGTTGTGGTGTGTGTCGGGGCTTGGTAAATTCTTACTGCTGGGTCATATGCCATTTAAAGGATGTTCTAGAATTTGTTTTTTCGTCCACTTGCCAATGGGACACCTGGGCTGCTTCTGGTCTGAGGCTATGAGAAATAAAGCACCGTGAACATTCTTCATGCGGACGTAGGTTTTCGTTTCTCATGAGGAAATAATGAGGAATGGCTCATTAGCTCATGTGGTAACTGTGGCGAACGTATGTTTAACTTCATAGGAAGTTGTCAGACCGTTGTTGCGAGCGGCTCTCCATTTAACATTCCCATCCACAGTGTTCCAGGTCTCCACATCCTCACCAACGTGTGGTATCGTCCAATTTAAATTTAGTGCCAAATTTACCTCCACCATCATAAGAAGTATGTCTTTATACCCTCAAGTGTGCGGAGCAATGCACACGCATATGAAGCTGCAGGTCGTTACGAGGGCCGTTCTGTGAGCAGGGCCGTGTTGCAAGCATCTTACATGCATCGGCTCATCAGCTTGACACAAAGCAACACTACAAGGTAGAGATGGTTCTAAGTTCTGTTTTACAGATGTGCAAACAGACAGAAGTTAGGTCTCAGGCCCATGGTGCTGGCCAGTGGTGGAGCCAGGGTTTGACATAGGTAAGCTTGTCTCCAGATCCCTTATTCTTAGCCAGTTTGCATCCTGTTTGGGTAATACTCCCAAGATTACCCAGTGAGCAAAGGGCCTGAGCTCCGGTACTGGGTCCCCCCCACTCCCATTCCAAGCCTTTGAGTTGGCTTGCCAGGTGTGGGAAGGGGGTCGGGGGAGGGATGGTGCTTCTCTGCACATCTTCTCTGTGGTTGGCTTGCCCCAGTCCCAGACTGGATCCGTCTTTGAGGTCAAAGCCATGATGGAAAGAAGCACAAGGCCTTCTGGGCACCTGGGCCGAGAACAATCCCCAGGGGCCCTGGGAGAGTCTCCCAGTAATGCAAAATGTGGGAATTACCCTGGTGTGTGGTTTCCTACACACCTTTCCTTCCTCAGGGAGGACAATGGGCTCAGGTGTTTCACTGGCTGACTTTACCTGCCCCTCTGGGCCTACCAGCTCTGAAGGGCAAGGCTGCTGTACCCTGGGCTCTGTCGGGTTTCTCCTCAGGAGTAATCAATGTGACTGTATGAGAATTTGGAAAAGTAGCACACTAGAGAAACTACTTCCTAGCCTAGTGTTTTTTCGAAAGCTCCAGAATGGTGCAAAACTAGATACAATTGTAACATCTGTCCCAACAAAAATGCCACCTGCTTGTTGGAGAAGACGACAGGGGCTAGTGCTTAACTCAAAGGATAGGTGCAGAGGGTGGTTTTGAGGCATGTTGAGAAATGGTGGAGGGAGACAGAAGGTCGGGAGGTCCTTCAGGGCTCCCCAGATTACCACGAGCAGGCAGGGGCTTTGAGGATGGATGGGTAGCTACAAGGGGGTGACCTAGCGGTCCCGGTGGGCCTCCATCCCCCACTCCCCTGTCCACCCTCTTCTCACTCCCAGACCATTTCATTTCCTATTCTCCTTGTACCACATCCTTCTTGCATTTTGAATGGCCCCGATATTCTTATACATCTCTAAACCACTTTTGGCCTGCATCCCCTATCAGCAATTGACATGGCAAAACAACTTAACAATTTACTGCCTAGAAAATCACCGATACAACAGAAACTTTGGAATATTTTTCACATTTCACATGTGCCCTCCCCTGGTTGGGGACTGTTTCCAGCACCACATGCCTGCCTTTTGGAAAGATTTTGCCCATAGAAGATCATCATCTAAGCCCTGAAATCTCTGGAAGGGCCATGACTCACTGGGTCTAATCCAGGCAGGTTACTTAGCAAGGCCATTGGCAGGGAAGGGATGAGAAATTGGAAGCAGAGCGGAGAGCCCATTACCCCAGGCTCTCCCCCATGAACTGTGACACTGCCGGGAGGGCCAGGCTCCCCTTCTTCCCGGCTCCATCCACAGGACATGATTCATATCTACAGAGAACTATTTCTCTCAGGGTCCTTGGCTAGGTTTCTGGGAGGGAGAGTGAGGTGGTGGGCACCCCACTGAAAGAGATCTGGACAGGCCTGTCTGCCTGCGATGGGGATAGGTTTGTGGGGACATGAGGAGGTGGTTCTGGAAGCTGGTAGTTCTTGAGGTAGAAAGATCCTGGGCAGCTTGAGCCATCTGGTGACCTGGTTCTGAGAGACATTCGCTGAGTCGATGGATAGGCTCATCTTGAGAGAATTTTGCAGCAATTTGTTTGTCATTTATAACTGACCAAGCTTTAAAAAGATTCCAACCCTCATGTGTAATGAGGCGGAGGCAATTTCATTCACTGTAATTTCTCTCAGGAAGAAGGCTGTCTTTGTCATAAGGACGTCTTGAGCAAGGCTTCAGGGGAGAAAGTTGGTCTGCTTGACAGAGGGGAAGAATGGTGCTTTTCTGATCCTGCCAAGAGGAGAGAGAAGGAAGAGGGAGAAACGGTGGGAAGGAGAGCAAGCATCTGGGATGAGCTGAGAGGCCAGTGGCTGGGGCTGTCTTGAGACTGGTCATGCCTACTGAGTTGTGAAAGTTGACATGTTGTACTGTTGCTCCCTCCGCCATCATTCCTGGGAAGTTGCCAGTAAAGTCTGCCTGGTTCTTGAAATCTCTGCAAGAGTAGACTCTTTGAGGGGCGGATCTTGAGGGGCTGTGAGTCTCCTGTCGGGGTACAGTGTGTGCAGGCTCAGACCCAAGGAAGCAAACCACCAGGAGTTGGCAGAAGCCCAGCGTTGGCTTTGCACCCACGTCATGGAATTCGATCTAGATCTCTGAGGGCAAAGGTGTACCAGCTGACATTGAAGTTACTTTTAATTATGGACTGAAGATGAAAGGAATTTGCTATTCTGAATTCAATAATTATTTAAGGGAATGAATAGTTGACAGATCATATCATCCTGAAGGGCAGAGAAAACTGGCTGAAATATTGGTGTTAATAACATAGACTCCGTAGGAGTATTGGTGTCATAATCGGAAACTGTCTGGGTTATATTACAGGATAGAATAGATAAGTAATTATATTGATGTTGGGAACCACGTTTCCCACCGTGGAGGTAGGGGGCTACAGATCTGGAGTAGGGGAAAGGACACAAAGAACTATGTGATGTTTTATTGAATCATAGGTATGGATATGAACTCATGACTCTCTCTCTCTCTCTCTCTCTCTCTCTCACACACACACACACACACACACACACACACACACACACACACTGGTATTTATATTTCCTGGTTTCCTGACTCTCTTCATTGAAAGGGCCAGGAAGCAATGACCTCTGGTGACAGTGAACACACTTAGCTCTCAGATCTTGGTTTCTAAATGTCACAACCTACTAAAAGAAACTGGAACTTCTTGGAGAGGTAGCCAGATCCACATCTGGGACAAGGAGAGCAGCTACAGAAAGTAGGAGGGAGCTCAAAGAGTGATGGAGACACAGCAGCTGGCTTGAAGGGCAACCCAGCAGTCACATTTGGAAGAGTCTGAACATTAAGAAGAATACAATCTTCTTAACGCACTAAATAATCATAATAGTAATACTAACACATCTGCGAGTCAATAGTAAGAGTAACAGGAAGGAGGAGGAGAAATCCATGAATCCATAGTAATACTAGTACTGGTATGGGAGAGGGAAGCTCACCTTCACTGAAGAATGTCAGCTGATAAATGTAGAAGAAAATTGCCTTGTGTAACCCTCAGTGAACTCACTGCCCCTGCCAGGACTGTTAGTGGATGCCTGCACAGGGTAAGGAGTTGTAGGGCAATGGGATAGGGATAAGCGTATGCTCTCAAGTAAGTTTCACTCTGAAGATTAGTTAGCAAAGGGGAAAATTTACCTTTATAGTGAAGAGCTTGCAGGACCCCACTTTAACCAGGTGGCCAAACTTAGCATCACTAGCCGTGAAAAAACTGACATTGTGTGCCTTCTGATGTGATATGATTCTGGTAGTGATCCCTAAATACTGGAATAAATGAAAGCCTGAAGAAGGAAATAAAAATAACCCATAATCCCACCTGCCAGAAATAGTCGCCATTGACCTTTTGGTGTATGCATATGTACAAAATTGGGATGATTTATATAATATGTGTGTGTGTGTGTGTGTGTGTGCGTGTATGTATGTATATATCTATATATAGATATATCTATATATATCTGTATCTCCATATGTAGGATATATACAGAGAGAATCATGATATATATGTTTACATTTATATAACATATATGTATACATGATATATACGCTTTTTTACATGTAGCATATCATGAGCATTTTTGTCGTTATTAAATGTTATTTCAAAATATATTTAATAACTACATAGTAATCCATCATATGATTATTCTATAATGTACTTAATAATTTTCTCTATTGTGACCCACT